GTCGGGCAGGGAAGAAGATATACACATTCGCGCTGGCACGCGGGGGGCATCGTCGATGCGCCCTAGAAACACTGCGACAACAACTCAAACAAAAAACAAACAAGAAAAACAAACAAACAAACAAACAAAAGAAAAGCGAGGCGACGGCGGCCGAGGGCAGCGGCGCCGGAGGCTCTGTGCGCAGGGCACCTGCCACTCCCAGGAACACGACGCCACCTCGCTGCGACGGGAACGATTCCCCCGCGAAGCCGCAAAGGGCGAGAGGGGCCTGGACAAGGGAAAGAACGCCGGAGCCCCCCGCCCCGACGCTGTCAACGCCTGGGCGCCCTCGCCCCCCCCCCGCCCCCCGCTCTTTCCACGACGCCGCCCCCGCCGAAAGCCGCTCGCGCCCGCCAAACAAAGCGAAGACGCGCGGGAACGCGGCTCAAGGCCCCCCCCAGTCCTGCGAGGTCGCCGCAGGCCCGACGCCCACTCGCACCGAGGGGGGCCCTCGCCTAACGAGGCGGCCGCAGGATTCCCAAGGAGGGAACGCAGGGTCGGGAGGGGGCCCCCTCGAGCGCGGGGCAATCTGAACCACCCGCACAGCCGCGCCTCGGCGCGCGGCGGGTGCCGCCCCCCGGGCCGCCGCCCGCAGGCCGCCGCGGGGGCTGCCCCCGATCTGTCTGCGCGATCTCCATCGCGGCGCGCTGAGCCGGGCCCCCCCCGCGGGGCGGCCGCCCGCGCCCCGGCGCGGATCGCTGCGTTCTGCAATGACCAACCTCACCGCGCATTGGCGGCGCGCCATGCACTCGGGCCCGCGGCCCCCGCGCGGACCCCGAAGTAACGGTCGCAGTCCGTCTCTTCCACGCCGCCGGGGCCGCCCGCCCCCTGGCCCCCCTCGCGCGGCAATTAGCCCTTCCAGGCTCGGGGCCGCCTCGATCGGGCCCCGTCCTCCGCGCGCTCGAGGTGGGCGCCCCCCCGGTCGTCCGCGGCTCCGCCATTTCGCCTTCCCGGCCTCGCGGACGGCTTCCTGCTCGGGAGCGCGTCGAGGAGCCCTTTCGTCGCCGCGACCCTGCGCGGGCGGTCTGCCTCGCCCCCCGCCCCGGGCGGCGGAGGGGGTGCGCTCCCTCCACAGCCGCTGGCGCGAACCGACGAGCCCCGCACTCGCTGCTGCCCAGCGCGACCCCTCGGCCGCCTGCCCCCGAGAGCGCCCCCCCCCCCCCCGCAGGAGGGCGCGCGGGGGCTCCGCTGCGTGGATCGGGCGATCCGAGCCCGTCGCGCTGTCGCTCTCGAGGATGGCACACCGCTTGACCGCCGCCCCGCGCCCTGCAGCGCCCCGCGCTGCCCTGGCCTGGCCGCGGCGGGCCAGGCGGCCGCTCGGGGGGTCGGGGAACGCGCGAGCGCGACACCCACTAGAGATTCTTCCTGCCGCCACGGCCTGCGCCTCCGACACCCTCGCCCTCGGGCGGGGGGGCCGCCCCGATCTCTCTTCCAGCGGCCACCCGCCGCGACCTTCCGCGCCCGCGCCTCGGCCGCCGCGGGCGCGTCGCACGACAAACCAACATTCTCTGCCGCGCGACGAGCCGACGCGAAATGGGAGGGCGCGCGGCCCCGAAACCCCGCCCGCGCCCCACGAAACTATCCCCTCCGCGAAGACGCACACCCCCGTCGAAAGCCCCCGCCCCGCCCGCGGCGGAAGGCGCGGGGGGGGCCCTCGAACGCGCGGGCGCCGTCGAGGCGGGAAGGCGTTCACTGGCCGGCTGGGGGCCAAGGGCCGCTTCGCTGGCGCGCCCCCCCGCAGGCCCTGCCGGACGGGACATCGGGGGCGAGGAGCTTTCTTTCTGCTGCGCGCGGCCCTCCTGCCCCCGGGCACGCTGCGACCGCCGCGCCCGGCGCGCCCCGGGCCCCGCGGCGGCCCTCTCACGCAGCCGCGACCCCCTTCGCCCCCCCAGATAACCGCGCGGGGCCCCTCCTGCGGGCTCAAGCACTGACGCCGCGCCGCCCGAGCCTCGTGGCGCCGCGGCGCATCGTCGCCGCGCGGCAGCCCGCCTTCCCCGCCCGCCTGGCAGACATCCTTTACTGCGCAACGGCTGCGCCCCCTGCGATCTGCCGCCCGGGGCGCCGTCGCCGCCGCCGCCGCCGCCAGAACACCTCATTCGGCCCCGCCGATTCTCTGATCAGAAATTGCTGCGGCGCTCGATCGGCCCTCCCTGGCCGCCATATGGCGCTCGACCGCGCGCCCCCGCAGCCCCGCGAGCGCCCCCTCTTTCTTCCGGCCCAGAAGGAGCCCGCGGAGCCAGACAAATCGCAGGACGGGAGCACGCGATCGACCACCCCGTCGCGCGGAAGGCGCGGCAGTTGCCCGTGAACTGTTCCTAGGTCCTAGGAGAGGCGCCCGCCCTCGCAGTTGGAGCGGACCTGCGAGTCGCTGAGCATGGCCCCCCTGGCCCCCCCCCCCGAGAACGCGGGCGCGTGCTCAGCGAGCTTCTGGCAAGCACCCTCGCCGCTGGAGCCGATGGCGCCCACGACTGCGCCAACCTCCTTCTCCACTGTCCAGCCTGATACCCCCCCCTCGCGGCGTTGACGACGGATGTCAGCTCGCCCTCAGGATCGACGGCCCCCCCTGCCCTGGACCCCGCGGCCGAAGTAGATCATCTCCACATGGCCCTCCCGGCTGTGATCCACGAACTATTCCAGCTGCCCCGCCCATTTGTCGCCCGCCATCTTCGCGCCGCCCTTCGCAAGGATTGGGCGCGACGAGAAGATGATGGCGCGGTACTCCCACGCGTTCTTGCCCGTTTCTGACCACCTGCAGCTGCACCTCGTGCTCGCGCACCTCCAGTGGCCTCCACCGCATGCGGCGCCTCCTGGCCCGTTCGCCTGCATCGCCACTGCGCGGCGCACCCACTCCTTCGGCTTAATGGGGGGCCGTCTTGCAGCGCGGGCACACGTGCCGAATGCGGCTCTCTCCACCGAGGGCGATGGCGAAGTCTGCTGCAGCTCCTGGCCCCTCGTCCTTCCAAGCAGCCTCGCACATATCCTTCAACCCGACGTTCGGTACCACAGGGCCGTCCTTGTTCTTCCTGATATCCGCCTCTGTGGCGTGCTCGATGGACCTGGTCTGCTGCGACGGCGATTCCTTCTTCTGCTTCTCCCTCAAGTCGGACCGTTCGGCCTTCAGGCTGTCTGTCCTTGCTGAAGCAGTAGTCCTTGTCAACGTGCTGCTTCCCTCAGTGGCACGCGAAGCAAATCTAGCGGCACGTGCGCAACGGATCCGGGACTCGGTTGATGAACGTCCACGTGTAGTCGCCGCCCATGGCCTTGGTGGCGTGCTCGTGCGCGACGGAAGAGCTGATGTTTTGCAGCACTGGAATATCACCGCTTTCGTGGGCCAAAACGAAAAGCGATAAAAAGCCTGGCTTTTCTCACAGAGATGGCTCGTAATCGGGTTGGCTACGACCACGCGGCCACCCGCGAATTTGCGCGCACCGTCGGCCTCCTTGACCAAGGGCGCCAGCCTCATCTTGGGGGTGATATCTGGGGCCAGGCGTCCTCTTCGGACCTCTTGCAAGCCCGCCTCGCCCGATTGCGAGCTCGGCAAGAGAGCGACTCTGCCAGCCTGGCGGCATCCCCATGCGGCTCCACCTGGCTCCCGTCCCGGAGGTCGTACGATGAGCCGCCGCGCGCTCCCGACCTTTCTCTGCGGTCCTCTGCCTGGCGGTTTGGCCTACGCCCCAGAGCGTCGTACGGACCGCTGCCACGCGTTTTCGGCCCTCCTCCGCGGTCCGCCGCTTCGGCCCATCTCCGCCTTCCTCCTGCGCGACGTCCTGCCAAGCGCCAAGGGCTGTGGACTCTTTGCTCCGCCGCGGCGCGGCGTCAGGGGCGCAGGCCCAAGGGCCAGCCGCAGCGCCCAAGCGGCCGAGAGCTCGAGCCAACATAGCCACAGACGTCGGGCAGGGAAGATGATACACCTTCGTGGTGGCGCACGCGGGCGAAACTCCGTCACGATCTGTTCGGTACGCTACGCGTGAGGTCTGGGAAAGGGGCAGGATGATGGTGGGGGGGGGGGGGGGGGCCCCCCCTCCCTCGCCACCAGTGTCCACCACCTGGCCCCTGCCTCGGCCCGCACGCCCGCAGCCCGACGGGCGCGGAGTGCACCGTCACACCCACATGCGAGCCGCACGCGCTGCTCAATGAACAAGGGCAAGAACGAGGAGCAGGACAAAGGGAAAGGAGGGCAGATGGAGGACTAAGAGGAGAAAGAGGTGGACAAGGAGGAATGCCGCACAGGAGGGAACAGGGAAGCAGGATGATGATGAGGAGGAGGAGGAGAAAACGATGAAGAAGAAGAAGAAGAAGAAAAAGAAGAAGAGGACGAGAAGAGAGCAGGGATGGAGGGTGGGATGGGGGAGGAAGAAAGAGGGAGCGTGGGAGGTGGTGGAAGAGGAGGGTGAGGAGCAGGAGGAAGAAGAAGAGGAAGAAGAAGAAGCAGAGGAGGGGATGTGGTTGAGCGGGGCCACTCGCAAGGGGCCTTCAGCGGAGCGCACGTGAGAGGAATGGAGAATGAGTGGGGGAGGAGGGGTTAGAGGGAGAAACATCTGCATAAAGACAACCCGTTGAAGGTCTGCGCGGATTTCTTGAATCGGCGCTGGAACCCCCTCCCTGGCGAGCACAGCGCGCCAAAGGCGGAGACAGAGGCGACGCCAGAGGGACCAAACGCCCATCCAAGACGTCCGCGCGGACCTGTGGAAGTTCTGCTTCTTCTGCGAGAAGATATGTCCCCCTTTCACCCCTCTCTCTCTCTCTCTCCACGTCCCTTCAACAAGCCCATGGACTTGCTCAGCTCCCTCCTAAGGTAAAAGACTCGACATACGCCCGCCCGCGCACGCGGGGGAGATGTGTGACGATGATGGTGGTGATGATGATGATGATGATGAGGAGGAGGAGGAGGAGGAGGAGGAGGAGGAGGAGGAGAGGAGGAGAAAGAGGAGAGGACGACGAGGAGGAGCTGGAGTCACAGAGGCAGCGGCAGCGGGATCGGTGGGAGCGGCCTGATGACGCCAGTGCAGATTTGATATGGCGGGCGGACGTAAAGAAAATGCGTCAGGGCCTGACCCTGAACCTCTGCTCGGACAAACGGTCGGGAACCAGCAGCTGTGCACCATCACCGACCCCGGCGATGCCCAACACTGGACCCTGGGCTGGCGCGCACGGTCTCCCAGCCTGAGTTTGGAGAGTCCACCCATACTCCAGTCCATTGAGCAGGGACCGACCGTCCCGGCATTCCTCTAGTCCTACCACGAAATGTTATTAGAACCCACAAATGTTCTAAGAACAAAAACAAGGCTCTTAGAACACAAACCCGATGTTACGAAATAAGACAGACTCCGCCAGAAATGTTCTAAGAACATGTCGTGGAAACCACGAAAGGTTCTTCGAACATTGTCTGGTAGGGCTATAGGCACGCCAGGACGCTTCGCCACTGCTTGAGTCCAGGGCCAAGGACGGAGGTGGCCAAACCGGCATGAGATGAAAAAAGGTCCTGCGCGGACCGGGCCCTGACCCTGAGGCGTTCCCCGCGACCGGCGCTCCATCCCGAATGGCTTCTCTTGGCTATCCCGCGGCCCGAGATGGGCCCCGAGAGGCCTGCACACGGCAAAAAACCTGCAGGATACCTTTCCCTCAGAAGTCCTATTTTGCTCACTGCGAACTTGGACAGGGGCCAAGCCGTCCAGCGATCTTGATGTTCAACTCGAAGGCCTCAAAAAGTCTCGACCCCTTCACTGGGATCAGCTTTCCGACCCAGATCCATGACTGACGACCACAGAAGCGGCAACTGAGGAAACACGTCGGGGTAGAACAACAACAACAACAACAACAATCATTTTACCCGAACGCTCAGTGTTCTCCCCAGTGCCAGGGTTTTCTTGCGACACCAGCCAATACCCCCACTTCGTGGGGGGGCCGTTCAAGCTCTACCAAATATCCAAACGACTCTTCGAGACCACCCACACCCAGCTTCCCGCCCTATGACGTTGGGACACTTCACTTCGTGGCGTGCGGACGACCCTGGCTACTACACTGGCGTGGGGTACACACCCACAGAGGTTGATCACATCTGTTACATATGATGTGGTACACGGTACACGTGAGATGGTACGCAGTGCCAAGATAGTTGGTCACATTTTTGGGGCAAATTCGTGGGGATGCGATTACAGAAGTACATGTGTTACACTGATGTTATACAGTCCCAAGGATGACGCATGCATTGCTCATAGACTCATGGCGCTATGATCCTAACTCTCAGTGCCCAACGCGCGCGTGCACAGCCAGACGGAGGGAGAGAAACACATGTATACAAGGTTCGTGACATACGCACGGTCCACCATGTTGTAAACGATCGCATGCACGGTAAGTTCTGAAATTATACGTATGTACAAGCAGACATGCGAGGGAGAAAGGGAGATGGCCATCGACAGTTCCAATACGGCTCCAAGGCGGAAGAGGGGGAGGAGGAGCAGGACAAGGAGGAAAGGAGAGAAGCGAGAAAGGAAGAACGCAGACGGCGCGGCTCTGGACACAAAGGGGTGGCTCAGACACGCAGACAGACGGCGCGGCTCTGGACATCTTGAAATTATTGAAAACCCATTGTGTTTGGCAGGATTTCGACATGCGCGCGCGGCGGCCGCGCGCATGTGCACTTCGTCTCATTTTTTGCAAGGGATGGTGGCCCTCGCAGGCGCGCAGCCGTTGTTGGAGAAGTTCAAAGCACCTGAAGAAGTAGCACGCAAAGACCCTTTTGACAGAAATGTTTAAAAAGTGGTGTGTTTCCTATGAATCCGCAAGAGCGCGCGGAAGGACATTTTGACAATTTTTTCTTAAAAAACCATTGGGTTTTTGATGTTTTTATGTTAAAATCGTTACGAAACCTAAGGTTTTGGAAGGATTTCGTCTTGCGAGCGCGAATGTCCACTTTACCTTATTTTTTGCAAGGGATTCTTGAAATTTGATCAACTAAGAACAAGAATTTTCATTTTCTATTGTTTTTTGCAAGGGAAAACGAGCGTCAACAAAAAACCGGATCCGGGGGTAATCCACTTTTCTGAAGCTTTCGCAGAAAAATGATGAAAATGTAGCTGCGGCCTAGGTTTTGGGCGGGGGGCGTGCACCAGGGGGTCCAACAATAATAATTCTTTAGAAGTAATAGTGTTCAACAACAACAACAACAACAACAATAACAACAACAACAACAACAACAACAACAACAGCAATCATTTTACCCGAACGCTCAGTGTTCTCCCCAGTGCCAGGGTTTTCTTGCGACACCAGCCAATACCCCCACTTCGTGGGGGGGCCGTTCAAGCTCTACCAAATATCCAAACGACTCTTCGAGACCACCCACACCCAGCTTCCCGCCCTATGACGTTGGGACACTTCACTTCGTGGCGTGCGGACGACCCTGGCTACTACACTGGCGTGGGGTACACACCCACAGAGGTTGATCACATCTGTTACATATGATGTGGTACACGGTACACGTGAGATGGTACGCAGTGCCAAGATAGTTGGTCACATTTTTGGGGCAAATTCGTGGGGATGCGATTACAGAAGTACATGTGTTACACTGATGTTATACAGTCCCAAGGATGACGCATGCATTGCTCATAGACTCATGGCGCTATGATCCTAACTCTCAGTGCCCAACGCGCGCGTGCACAGCCAGACGGAGGGAGAGAAACACATGTATACAAGGTTCGTGACATACGCACGGTCCACCATGTTGTAAACGATCGCATGCACGTTCTGAAATTATAAATGTCCCTCGCAGGCGCGCAACCGTTGTTGGAGAAGTTCAAAGCACCTGAAGAAGTAGCACGCAAAGACCCTTTTGACAGAAATGTTTAAAAAGTGGTGTGTTTCCTATGAATCCGCAAGAGCGCGCGGAAGGACATTTTGACAATTTTTTCTTAAAAAACCATTGGGTTTTTGATGTTTTTATGTTAAAATCGTTACGAAACCTAAGGTTTTGGAAGGATTTCGTCTTGCGAGCGCGAATGTCCACTTTACCTTATTTTTTGCAAGGGATTCTTGAAATTTGATCAACTAAGAACAAGAATTTTCATTTTCTATTGTTTTTTGCAAGGGAAAACGAGCGTCAACAAAAAACCGGATCCGGGGGTAATCCACTTTTCTGAAGCTTTCGCAGAAAAATGATGAAAATGTAGCTGCGGCCTAGGTTTTGGGCGGGGGGCGTGCACCAGGGGGTCCAACAATAATAATTCTTTAGAAGTAATAGTGTCCAACAACAACAACACTCCGCCAGAAGTCTGGGGACTGGGGCATCGCTGGGTCCAAGTATGAGCATAAACTTTCGGAGGTCCGCGCGGGTATAGTGGTTCAGTGCTGGAAGCCCCTCCCTGGCGCGCGGGGCGCGCCAGGGGGCGGCGCTGGAGGCGCCGCCGGGGCGAGACAGCGCAGGTCCAAGAAATCCGCGGGGAGCTCGGAAAGCTTGTGCTCGTGCAAATGCTTATCCTTCGAGTAGTGCGCCTCTGCCGGCTCCCGAGATAAGCGGGGCTCTGGGGCCCTGGGCCTACTGTTAGGTCGGGCCTGTCCCCCCGCAGGGGGATTTTGGGAGAAAAATGACAAATACCCCAAAAGATGCCCCCAAATAGTCCAAAAAAAATATATCAAAAGTGAGTCCCCTGACTATCTTTTGACCATTCTTGAAGATCCCTCCTGCAGAGGGCCAGGCCCGACTTCAGCCTACTCAGTTGTAGTTCCGCTGCCTCTTGAAAGGGGGCTCGCCGGCGGCCCACGGCGGCTGCCGCTCGGCGGCAGCCCAGGGCCGCTCCCGCTCGGCCGGCGGGCCCGCGCCCATGCAGCTCTTCGCGAAGGACATGACGATGGCGGAGTAGTCCGAGTCGCCCTCCCTCCTGCGGGCCCGCGTCTCCGACGATGTTTTTTGGGGGACGCACAGAGACATACTGATACTATATGTGCTCCTTGGATCGGGTGTTGCTAGAGGTGCCCCTGGGCCAAGGTGCCCCCAGGAAATTCGGGGTAGCCCAAACGGCTTCCAAAGCACCCCTCACGAGGCCCAGAGGGCCCCAGGGGCCCCAAACTGAAGCGAAAAGCTGGGGGCACCTTGGGCCAGGGGTACTTCTAGCAACACCCGATTGGAGGCGCGCGTCCGACCCAAACATCTAGTGTACCCATCTTGTCGTACATCGTTTCCCGAGCGGTGTGGTCAGAAAGCGCCCGCCACGACGCATATACTGTAATATTTCTCGGTGCGCGCGTCGCCCCTGGGGGGGCGACGCACATATGATATAAGCATGTCTGGGTGACGCCGAACGAATCTCGATGTGATCCGGGCGTTTTTCCTCGATGTGAACCTCTGGGGCGCGTTACCGGACCCCGAGGCCATCAAAATTCTGGCGGCGAGCGCGGGGGGAAGTGAGAAGGGGCGGGCCTTCTCAGAAGGCTCGGAAGTCACCCGGCCTTCTGAGAAATTATCTAAGCCGTCCCCAAAGACAACGATACCTTCTTAAAGGCGCGAGGGCTTCTGAGAAGTCCCGCCACCTTCTGAGAAGGCCTTCTCCTTCTCATGTCCCCCGGGGCGGAAAACTGATCCGGGGCGGAAAACAGACCCAGGGGAAGGGGTCGGGACCTCTGGGGACGCACGGAAAACACATCCAGGCCTCGCAAGAAGTTAGCGAACACTCATGCCACATTCATCTGTCAATGCCCCCCCCAATAGTCAAGGTTGGCGGTGGGTTGAACGAGCTGCACTTCGACCGCGGTCTTCCCCGCGTGTGCCAATTTTGAGTTTGGGAGAGCGGGGGAGTGTCCACCAATTGTTTCCCTCTACCGTATCGGCGGATGTCAGGGGCACCGTGGGTTGCGAGTCGCCCGAGGACATGGAAATCTATAGGACCTCACCAGACGGTGCGCACACAGGGCGGCTCCTCCTCCCTCCTCCTCCTCCTCCTCCTCCTCCTCCTCATCCTCCTCCTCCTCCTCCTCCTCCTCCTCCTCCTCCTCCTGCTCCTCCTCCTCCTCCTCCTCCTCCTCCTCCTCCTCCTCCTCCTTCTGGCTCCTCCTCCTTTTTCTCCTCCTCCTCCTTTTTCTCCTCCTCCTCCTTATTCTCCTCCATATTATCCTCCTTCTCCTCCTCCTCCTCCTCCACCTCCAACCGCCGCCACGGCTTGCAGGGTCGCGCGGCGCAAGAGGCCTGAACCTCACTCCTTACTCTCCATACCCAATCTGGGGCCCTCGGCTGGCCGTAGATGACAACACGCCTTTTCTGTTCGACTACACAACCACTCCACACACGCGGAGACTGAATATTGGATTTGGCATGTGAGTTCTCATCCTTCGACGTCGTCGGCCTGCCAGGAACACGGCTGCGAGAGATCGAGCAGGAGCACTACATGATCCAGAAGGTGCAAGGTCGACTGGGTCGTCCACACAGGCTGGCGCATAGGTGGGCTCTCGAATCGTGCGGCAGGCTGCAGGAATTTCCTCCCAACGCGTTGACAGTCCCAGCATATTCGATGGGTGGACACTCCAAAGGGTGATTTTCGGGGCTGGTGGGTCAGATCGAGATAGCAAAGGGGCATGCGTGCACTAAACCATGGTGCTGTACTGCCCCCCCCCTCCAGCCTGGGAAAGCATGCACGGTGAAAACGCACCTGGCCTGGTGTGATCAACTTAGTTCTTGGGCTCGGGATCGACTTCGAGGCCTCCCCGCTCGAGCTCATCAGACTGTTATGAGTGGAGTGAACGACTGAGTGGGCACGTCGAAGCAGGCGGGGGTGCGGCAGGATATTGAGACTTCGGCAGGTGTGGCAGGTGTGGACAGCTGGGGCGCGAGATCGCCGCCCTTCTCGAGAAACGCAAGCGAGAGCACGGCTGCCTGCGTGCAAATGGTGACCACCAATTTTTTGCATGAGCGAGACCAGCGACTCGCAGTTCCTGATCGAGTGCCGCTTGGCAGCCCACCTAAAATGAGGAGGTTGGACGGAGCCCGTGACTTTGCGCCGACCTCTGCCTCGACGGGGCACTCGGCATCAGAGATGAGACTATGCCAAAGCTTGCTGGGAAGATGAGTGGTCTTGACAGCGGCTTGGACTCATCCTCGGATCCTACCATCTATCCAGACTCGATTCCGCATGCCGGAATATGGTCACCCCCATCGTCTTTTTGTCCAACACGGAGGGGGAGCAGGAGGGATCCGCTGCCCTTCCAGAGGGCTATCTATCCGGGAGGCACACCCCCATCGTGCGACCGACGAAAAGTGCGATGGCAACCTGCGCTGCGGACCCACACTGCCACAGCCGGGCGGAGCACGGGCCCCCCGTGCCGGCGGGGCCGCCTGCTGCCTGCTCTGCTGCTGCTCCCTCGTCCTCCGCCGAGGGTGCTCCGAGTCGGGCGAGGGTGCCGGCTCCGCCCCTCGTGCTCCCTGGGGGCCTCGGCCTCCCCCGCCCCCCCCCCCATCGCCCCTTCGGAACGTGAGGCACCAGAAGCGTGTGGCATCGTGCGGCTACTCTCGGCGTCCAAGCTGCTGCAGGCGCGGACCACTGCGTCAGCGTGGAGCGGGCGGGTGGCGGGGGGGGGTGGGCGGAGCGTGCGGACGCCGCCCTGGGGGGCCGCAGGGAGCGGTGGGCTGCGGCATCTAAGAAGGTGCGCTCGGGGCCCCCTGCGAGATCCAGGGGTGGCTTGAATTCGCGCCGTCGTAACTCCAGATAGGAGGGCTGGCGCCGCAGGCAGCCTCCGCAGGGGCAATTCCCTACCATGGAGGTGCGCCTTTGGGCCAGAGGGGGTCTTTTCACCCCAGCGGGGGACCTCCAGAATTGTTTGGATTCTGACAGGGTAGTCCCCTGCGCAAGGACGTGCAACCCGACCGTTTTAAGGTCCCCCTGCTTGTTTCCCCCGTTGAGTTGAAGCAGTCCCCAGCGTTACTTGGTCCTGGTCCTCCACCTCCTCTTCCTCCTCCTCCTCATCCTCTTCCTCCATTCTTGTCCTTACGAATAACTCCTCCCTGTCGCAACCCAGGGCCAGCAGGAAGAGCGGGCCGGGCTTTTCGCTGGATAATTCCGTACGGCTTATAAACCGGAAGCTGGAAAACTGGTGACCGTTTCACAGATGGAGGGCGGATCGCTTCCAAAATGCGGCTCGTAGCGCCGCGCACATCCGTTAAAATATTGCAACAGCTTCATTGACTCAGGGCGGGAAGTTTTCAAAATATGGTTCTCGCCTCAGCGTCGCGCACCTTTGCTGTAAACATTGCAAGAGCTTCACGGATTGAGGACGCTTTGGTTTCAAAGTGTGGCTCTCGCCTTAGCGCCGCGAACATGCGTTCAAACATTTGCAGGAGCTTTAGGCATTGAGGGCGGCTCACTTTCAATATGTGGCTCTCGCTTGAAGTCCCAGAAATGGTGCTTGGGCCAGCTTCAGGATCGACAAATCGCAACAATCAGGTGGTCTCGTGGCGTGGAAGTCATGAGAATGGTGTTTTGGCACGCTTCAGGATCTTCAAACGGTTGTCTCCCAACAGGGTACTTCCCTTATTCGAAATGAGCCCTTATCTGGGGCATATGAAGAAGAATCTTGGAGGGAAGGTCGATTCCAACATCGTTGATAAGTCGTGGGTTTACACTGGTCCTCCTTCTCCTTCTCCTCCTCCTCCTCCACCCTCCGCACTCCTCCTCCTCCTCCTCCTCCTCCTCCTCCTCCTCCGCCCTCCTCCTCCTCCATCCCTTCTGCTTGCAAGTTACTCCTCCCCGTCGCACCCCCAGACGTGTCGGCAGGGCGGGCCTGGCGCTTCGCCCGAGACCTCCCCACCACGTCCGATCTAGAAGCTCGGGCTCTGCCGCAGCTTCGCGGCTGGAGGGCGAGCCCTTCTGAAAGTAAGTCCTCGCGGCAGCGCCGGGCACAGTCGTGTTAAAAGTTCGCAACCGCTCCACGAATGGAGCGCGGGCCGTTTTCAGAATGTGGCTCTCGCCCGAGAGCCGCGCACACTCGCCTTCAACGTTGGCAACAGTTTGACGGATGCAGGGCGGGTCCTTCTCAAAATGTGTCTCTCGCCGTAGCGCCGCCACACGCACTCGTGGTAAACGTTCGCAACAGCTTCACGAATGGAACGCGGGCGGCTTTCAGGATGTGTCTCTCGCCTCGGAGCCACGCGCATTCGTCTCAAAAGTTTGCAGCAGCTTCCGCGGATGGAGGGCGGGCCGTTTTCATAACGTGACTCTCGCCCTAGCGCCGCGCGCATTCGTTTTGAAAGTTTGCAGCAGTGCTAAGGATCTGTATGGTTGCGAACGGCGTTATAGAAACATTACACACTGTCAGGACGCAACAGTCACACTGATTCAAAGTGAAATCCCCGGGGCGTTCTGGTACGATTTAAGATTGTTAGGGCGCAACAACAGCTTCTGCCTGCGGCGCTGAAATCCCAGGAATGATGTTGTGGCACGATTGAAGATTCTCAAACGGTTGTCTTCCACTGGGGCACTCCCCGCGGAGAAAATTCATTCTTGTAGGGACATATGGAAAGGAAACTTGAAGTGTGGAGGGTGTAGCGCAACATCCTTGGTGAGTCTTGGGTTTACACTGGTCCGCACCCTCCTCCTCCATCCGTTTCCTCCTTTTTCTCCCCCTCATCATCACAAACGAGCATCATCATCAGCTTCGTCATCATCATCATGAGCATCATCATCGTCGCCAAAACAGTCAGTAGCCTTATCCTTATCATCCTCATGATCATCATCCTCATGATCATCATCCTCATCCTCGTCATTATCCTCATCGCCATCATCATCAACCTCATCATCATCATCAGCATCATCATCAGGTTCGTCATCATCGTTGTCATCATCGTCATCATCACCATCATCATCATCATCATCACCATCATCATCAACACCATCATCATCAGCAGCATCATCCGCCTCCTCCCTCCTCCCTCCTCCTGGCTCCCTGATGCCTCCTACCTCCGCTCTTGGAGGACATGAGGACGACGGACGACGACGACGACGACGAAAACGACGCTCACGACTATGGCGACGACGACGATAACGACGACGACGACGACAAAGACGACCACGACGGCCAGAATCACGGGATCACAAGTGAATCAAAGCTATCGTACCCAAGCAGCCTCGAAACCGACGACGTGGACTCGCGACGAAAATGCGAACGGGGGGGTCCAAGAAACCGACGGTCATGCTCTGGTGCCCCCCCAGGGGAGGGTTTGTGACAACAGTGACGACGACAAGTAACATGAGATCCTACAAAGGCTGAGGAGCGACGACGCCACGCCAGATCGCAGAAACTTCGACGACGAAGACATGGCAGCGAAGAGGAAGGGGCTGGGAATGCTGACGACGGCGCGGCCCCGCGACCCGACAGTCCCCCTCTGCCGATCGGTGAATCCACGACGGCGCGACCAGAAAGCCCGCAAGCCGCTCCCCAGTGGAGTCGCGCTCGTGATACCATGGCGACGACGACGACAAAAACAGCGCGGACAAGAACAACGACGACGGTTTAGATGGCAAAGACGACGACGGTGGACGACAACAACGACGACGACAACCGCCACACCGTCCACGAGAACGAAGACGACGACGACGACAACGACGACGACAACGACGGCATAGGGGGCAAGCAAGGGGAGAGAAAGGCGGAGGAAGCAGGCGTAAAAAGACAAGCGGAGGGGGGGGGCAAGACGGGAGGAAGAAATTTTGCATGTACACAGACCCCACCAAATCCATCCTGAGCTCAGCACCTGTGCAAAGCGCCACCCTGGCTCGGCCGGAGAAGTTCGCACCCCATCCTGGGCGCAGGCAGGATGGGCCTGGCGAGGACGTGTGTGCGCGCATTGGAAGGAGAAGAACACGGGGATCATGACCGAGATTGAACGCGGAAGCGTCGTGCCGATCTTGGTCACCGCCCAAATCGGCCAGCGTGAATTCGTGGATCATGCTCGCGGATCGGCGGCGGCCGGCATGGACCATGAGCAAGATCGGCGTCGACAGGATTCCGTGTCATGGTGTTCCTTCCCTCTGCGCATGACTCTCGTAGCCCAAGGGGAAGCTGCGTGGGGCCGATCCTGGGAATGAACTCGCGCAGCACCCGGTCGCAAACCTCTCCGCCGCGGGCAGGGAAATTCAGGGCTGGGGATATGCCGTCCTGGTCACATGGCCCGCCCCCCACCCCCCCTTCGAAGGAACGCGGGGGGAAGGTTTTGTAAGGAGGCCGCCCCCTGTCAAGACGTCCCCTGGCCTCCGATGTCTTGTCCCGTTGCAAGAATTAGCCTTGACCAGTGCTAGCCAGAATTAACCGGACTTGGCCACCTCTGATTGTTGAACGTATCTGACGCACCGAAGCCAGGGTCAATAACAAGGAGATGGCAAAGTATTCCTTACAGCGGCACGCAAATCTAGGCCAACTCACGCAGAACCTTGCAAGATGTTGCTGCCTCAGACATGAAGCGTACTGATGTTCAAGTACGGGGTCCACGGAAGCCCCGACCCGTTCCCCAGGACAGGTACGTTCCGCGTGAAAGGTGTGCCGAGAGTCGCGGGTGGAACTGCCTATCGAGCACGATCTGCGCGAAGGGTGTGCCGAAATGGGCGGGATGACCGCACGCGGGCACCCCCACTGGCGCCGTAGCTGGAATTGCCTGGTGTGCACGATCTTATGTATGCGGTGTGCCGGAATAGCAGGGCGACCGCATACGGACGCCCTCCCCTGCGCCCTGGCCCTAGGCGGAATTCTCTCTGGAGCACGATCCGCGTGAAGGGTGCGCCGAGAGAGGTCTATAGGGGGAACTGCCTGTGGGGCACCATCTGTGCGAGGGGTGTGCCGAGATGGGCGGAATGGTCGCACGCGGGCGCCCTTACCGGCGCCGTCGGTGGAACTGCCTGGTGTGCACGATCTCTGTATGTGGTGTGCCGTAACAGCAGGGCGACCGCATACGGGCGCCCTCCCTTACGCCCGAGGTGGAGCCCCCTCGTGTGGGGGAACGAGAGACGCGGACGGGGCGTGGCGCAATGGGCGGGGCGCGGCCTGCGCGCGCGCCCACCGAGACCGCAGGCGGGGGAGGCGGGGGAGGCGGGAGGAGAGAGGCGGTAAGGGCGATAGGACGCTCGGCACGGCGGAGAAAGAACAACAGAGGGGGAGGCAAAGCGAGGACCCAACAGCAAAAGAGGTTTGGGAATGCGACGCGTTGAAGTACAGGAAAAGATGTTTGCCAGCTTGCACCCCAAACAGGAAGTTATTGCACTGCGGATGTGCAAGGTAAGCGGTGTAAGATACGTGGTGCATGCAAGTGGTGCAACCTGTGTGGTGCAAGCTACGTACGTAGTGCAAGCTGTGTAGTGCAATGTGTATATATATATATATGGTACAAACCATGCGGAGTAAACAACGTTGCATGTGTAAGCTAGCCGGTGCAATCTGAGGGGCGCAGGTGCAAGCCGTGCGGGCATGCGGTGTACGCTGTGTGATGTAAGCTGCGTGGTGTTGGCTGTGCGGTGCAAGCTGTGCGGCGTTAGTTATGTGGTGCGAGCTGCGTGGCCAAAGCCGTGGTGCAGACTGTGCGGCCGCGCAGCACACGAGGCGCCCACGCGGCGCCCACCGGCGGGCACCTGGGCGAGCCCTCGCACTCCGCACAGCGCAGCGCCGCGCAGGCAGCTCACCTAGGCCGGGCCTGTTGGCTTCCACGCGCGGTCACCCCGACTCGGCCTCGGTGGCGCTGCTTGCCGTGGTCTCGGCCGTTAAGGCTTCTGCTCACGACTCGATCCGAGCCCTGCCTCCTGCGCCCGTTGCCACTCGCCGCCAGCACCTGGGGCTCCAGCGCCTTCAAGAACGCCACGCAGCGGTTGTCGCACGGGTACCTCCAAGGGGGGGGGCCTAGGAGCCCTGGCCCCCACGCATGGCGCCGTCTGGTGACTATGGAGGGCAGGAGGGAGAAGGGAGGAGGAAGAAGAGACGAGGGAGGGAGGGGTAGGGATGAGGGAGAAGACAAGCGGCCTGGCACACACTTGAGGGACATCGCCACACCCGGAAAGACCAACGCTGTTCCACCTCTTTCCTCCCCTCCCCGCCGTCCCCTCCTCTCTTCCCTCTCTTCTCGTTTTCCTCTGGGGGGGGGCCCTGTTGGCATTTATGAGCCTGGCGAGTCCCGTTCCTCCCTCCGTCCCCGCAATCCACCTTCATGCTTGCTGCTCTTCCTGGTCCTCCTCCGCTCCGGCCTCCTCATCCATCTCTTACCCCACCACGTGTGTCCCCGTTTCTGGTCGGTCTTCCTCTGGGGTACAGAAGGAACTCGACCACAAGAAACCTTCCACAAGAAACAAAACCCTGAGACCCCAGGTCGTCCATTAAGTTTGGAAGTGGGAACATCGCGCTTCCATAGTAGAACCATCGAACCCCAAGAAAGGGCACCGTGGAGGAAAGCAGGTTTCCACTGAAATCTTCTGGGGGCCGCAAGCGACCCCAGGGACACCCCCACACC